AATTATTTAAATTATTTAAATTATTTAAATCCTATATTTATTAGACAAAGAAATAGACTCGGCAAATAATCCCTAAAGGTCTCTCGATCATATATATATATATACATATATACATATATGTATATGGGTTTAGGGTTTCGGATTTAAGGTTAGTAGAGAATAAGGGAATAGATGATATCGGGATTCTATCGGGATTGATGCAGGCTCCAGCACACCTTCACAGCATGGTCGTCCGTCAGCATAGCAGACCTCACGCAACAGCAACCCACACATTGGGTTTCAGGTTTCGGGCCCACGACCGCCGTGCAATCAAGTAGATACGGTGGTTTCCGAAAATCGGCGGCCCCTTTGGGAGCCCCTAAAACCATGATGCCAGTATATTGGGATCCAAAACTGGGCCCGCGTTTTCGGAAACTCCGAAGTTGGTGTGCAACAACTTGACCCCACGTTCCTCCGGAGACACCCACACATCAACAAAAAGTGCCTGTAGCTTTGAGCGAGCCCTCCTGACAGAGGTCTTCTCTGAATTTTGGGTTCCTTTGAATAAGCCGCTGAAAAAACAGCCCAGCACTTTGGGGTTTGTCGTGATCCTAGTTGGAGATTCGGGACATTCCCATTCTCGACTTGCTAGCTGCTAGCCAATAAAATTCGTACTCCTTAGAAACTGGAGTGCGTGTTGGATGATCCCAAAAAATCTTCCTCAAGTTCTCCAGAAACCCCAAATCAAGGTTCAGGCAGATTCCATATATGAGCTTAACCCCTAAACTCCTAAGCCCCCAAGCCCCTCAACCCTATATCTATACAGACACATGTATATATCTATGTATATATATATATATCTCTCTCTCTCTATGTATACCTATATAACTAACCCCTATTATAACCCCTATAAACTCATATATACGTATATACATATTTACATACATTAATACATACATATACACACACATATATATATATACATATAGCTTCATTGCTTCCTACCTAGCCCAGCGTGAGGCACGGGATCCTGGCATGCTTGCAACCTTCGCAGCTTCGCAGCTGGATGTTGGAGGGATCTGCCAAGATGCTGGGCGACACCTGCACTACGGGAATGTGCAGATTCCTCAAAAAAGGGGTGGCTGTCGTGGACTCTAGGCACATGTGTGTACATATGGAAGATGTAGCAGATCATAGAAGAACCCATCTAGGAGTAGGTAAGTACAAGCTTGATGCTCCCGCCACCCGAATCCGTGAGCTTCGGCTGCGGTCCTGGGACAACTACGTCTCTTGCTGGCCCTGCTTGTTTCCAATAGCGGCAACGTCCAAGGGCCTCGAAGCTCCAACACCGCACCTGGCGCGCTGTGCAACAAGAGCTTGACTCGTGGATCCATATGATCGGAGCGCGACGGGTATGGCAAAGAAAAAGGAGCCAAATGCCACTCAGTGAGCTAGTACGTGGCTAGATTATCTGCTGCAAAGGGATGCAACTCAAACAGCGTTAGGCCCCGGACATAGGAGCCCAAGTGTGACGGGAGCGGATTGAACCTGCAGGGCCCGAAGGGCTGAGTCATCATTCTGCACCCCAGGCTGATGGCTTCCACACAACATGTTCCGAAAGCTCTTGCTTCAGGTCCTGCCAGCTTCACGCTCTGCCGCGTCCGAGCTTTGGCCTTCCCCGAGGATGGCACGCCTCAGCATAATCTCAGACTTTGAAATACAACGGATTGAAAACAACAATACAACGGTCTCAGGGCAAAGGGGAACCAGCATGTTGCGTAGCAGTAATCTCATTGCATGACATGCAGAGCCCGTTCCAGGCAGTCACAGCCTTTATTCGACCCCGGTAACATCTCAGCAATGGCCAGGGCCATGGCAGCGTGGCTGGAAGAACTGTTCTCCTCCTCAAAGGGTGCCAAGCCACCATTCACGAAGCTCTGTCCGACCCGCCATCGACCACTAAGCGCGAAATGGGTGGTAGGGGGCCTGACTTGCAATCCTTGGAATCCTGCATAGCCCTGTGCAGCTTTGACGCGCTCCTGCGGCGCAGAGGGCAGCGCGACCGATGTGCCCTCACCTTGAGCGCGTTGCTGGAGAAGCTCGTTTCCGAAATGACACGTTAGATTCGATGTCCTAAGACTAACAGCTGTGCGCATGCTTCCCACTGCGCCATGTCAGCGTGATAAAATGCATGGTCTGGCCAACAGACCTTTGCCTGGGCATCCTGATCTGAGTCTGGCACCCACCTGAAAGTGATATTGATGCGCTCCTGGGAAGCCGCAGCCAGCCGTTAACAAAGAGTCCGGCTTCTGTCCTCTTGCGGTCATAAGCGCAGCGTGCTGGTACGGATCACCCTCTTAGCTTGCGGCATGTCTGAGGGGCTCCCGAGGGTTGCATTTCGGCACAAAGTGCAAGCAATGCCGCTGCATGCGACCCTGGACCAGGCAAACTATCTGAGGCTTAACAACGGCATGGCCGGTGCATGCTGAAGATCCCCAACAGCCAGTCGATGTCATGTGACATGGTATCCGCCCAAATTCGGAGAAGGGCCTCCATGGTCAAGATATCTCCATTGTGAAGGTCCGTCTCAATGATGCTCGCAATTTCGGGATCCTCAGTGGCTTCGCAAGAAAACCACTGCGCAACCCGGCAGTCCACAGATACTGTTGCGCCAGCATTCGTCCATGCACGACTGATGGGGTCGATCCAGCTCCTCTCCTATTTGTCAAGGAGGCCCTACATCTGCTATCAACACAACAAGCTTCGGCTCTAGATGCGGCGTGGCATCGAGATTGACAGCATGGGTGACACCTGAACTCTTGCACTTATGGAAAGCAATGTGCCGTTTCACGGCAGGATACCTAGCGAGGCCAGGTGAAACCGGGAACAGGCTAGAACAATGATGCTCTTCCCCTCCCCTACTCCTGTTGTGATTGTTATCATTTTGGTGTTCTTCATGCTTGTGTTATGCTTGTGTTTGCCATGTAATGGTACTACATGTGGAACATGTTTTGTTGGAAGGGGAAGGGCTTGTTTTAAATTACTGGCTATTATTCAAATACGGCGGCATCAACAATACCGTCGAACATGCTGACATCACCCAGGCCTTGGCGGCGCAAGATCGGCTCCTGCTGGAAGGACACATAACTTAAGAGGACCTCCCACCATGCAATAGTGGTATAATAGGAATACAAGAGGACCCTGATATAATTCTTACTATCCCTTATATCACTACCCCACCTAACACACGACCATGGATGGGAATGGAAAATGAAATCAGAAGTGGGCTGATTAAGGGCTTTTGGAGATTGTAATTTTGAAATTAGGGGGCTGCCGAAACTATGGCTTGTTGTTGGGTCTAATTTCTATGGCACCAAAACCTACCACAGACTGGATTGGCATCCTTACTGGCAGGCATCAAACCTGGATAGGGCCTTCGCAGAAACAACGACGCTTACCTGGGTCTAGGGTTGTAGGGTTTTGGGTTGCAGGGTTTAGGGTTTAGGGTTGGGTACTATCCTGCTCTAGAAATTTGAAAAAGCACTCAAAATCTCCAATGACTTAGATTCACGTGAGTTGGGGATCAGGTTGTGGTACCCCCGACCGACGAAAATACAAAAAAAAATGAACCCCTTTCAGCACCCGTCATTGTCGGGCGCAACATGAAGGAATATTTGACAGTTTCGTTTTTGGCGGGGTCCTGTAAAGCCTGGGCCCTCTGCATGCGGATCCTGTGACAGTAAAGGCATCATCAATGCGGCGTCATGATGCCAAAACAAATTCTGCTTCGGGCATGTACTTTGTCTTTCCTATGATCCGCTGGTGCTGCTTGGGACTACAGACAGAATTTACCCCAAAACCTAGATACCCCTATAACATACCCCTGAAGTTGTGTGGCTTCATCACATCTACCTACTCCAGCTCCTCCATGGTCAAGTCAACGACCGTGGAGATCCGGTCTTCCTAGGGAAAGTTTGGGCGCCCTATGGAAATCAATTTGTTCATGGCTCTACTGAGGATTATATAGGGATTAAGGGTAATCCACATTTACAAAATATTTTGAAACCTACCCCAGATTCCTTCTCCAATCCGGCCCACATCTCCATCATCTCCTCAGGGTGGCATGATGGGTATAGAATTTAGAGTTCAGGGCTTAGGGTTTAGGGTGTAGGGAGGGTTGAATTGAAGCGACTTGGGTCAGGAGCAACTAGCTGTAACTAGCTGCTCTTGGCTTTGGGATACACAACGCGGAGCGGCAACAAGGAGATTTCACTGTCCCACCCAACTAGGATCTTTTGGATGACTTTTGTTGATCCCAATCTTATCAGGGAATCTATGCCATGTGGGCCATAGTCTAAACTCCTAGCATCCCCCTTAACATCCCCTATAGTAGTCCCCTACATAACCCCCCTTTAAAGAGTTTAGATTATAGCTCACGTGGAGAAACCCTAAACCCTAAACCCTTAACCGTAAGCCCTTTTCCACAAACCTCGGCAGCCACCACGAAATCCAATTTGTCCTTCTGCCTCAGCTTGGAGGCAGCAAGTTTTGGCTGCTGGCCTGACCTAGAGAACAATAACCTCAATCCTATACGATACTATGTCGTGGTATATTATACTATAATATAGTATATGATACTATATTATAGTACATTATAGTATAATGTAATTTATTATACTAAAATATAGTATATTCTAATATATTTTAGTATATAAAATATATCGTATATTATAATCTATTATACTAGTATATAGTATATTACCTCAGCATTATTGCACGCCCTTCAAGCACTGCAACTTGCACCAGACTCATGTGGCCGCTGAGAAACTTCCCTGACTGATTCGCTTGCCTATCCTGCTTCTGGTTGCCTTCTTGGTCCATTTGGGGACAGCAGGTGCTTTAGGATGAACACGCGCAACTACAGCATTTTCTGTGGAGCGTAGCTTGCCTGAAGGATCCACTGGCCGCTCAACACTTCCACCCACGCAACCCACCCCTCACAACCCAAACCCTGCATGTCCCATCTTACCAGGTTATTTTTGTGTGACCTTTTCTCCAGGGCATGATCCCTTAAAGATGCCATTTCGGCTCTTACTAGGTTTTAGGGTCTAGGGTAGCATTCAACCCCTGCATTCTTAGCCTACATGCTGTGGAGATTTTCGCCGACAACCAGGCTGTGCACCTTCAAGGCATGGGCTCTTTGTTTTTTCTCGAGAACTCTTGATTGGAAAGCCAACACTTGTTCATGACTGCTCGTTGGCGGAACAAGTTGCCAACAACACGGAAAGGGCACAACGTGACATTTGCTAAGATCTAACAACACACATCCTTTACAAGTAACAGGGCATCTCAAATCTCACTGCTCCTTGGGAACACGCGGCCACATATGCATTTCAAAATTGCTATCCAGGTGCTCCTCCCAAATTTCCACGGCAGAGTCAGGTGCCGAAGAAGCCAAGAGAGGTGCCTCCAAGTCCTGGTGCATCAGGGAGGGTGGGCTGCTTTGAGCGTGGAATATTTTGGGGTAAGCATGAGCCAAGATGAAGTTCCCTGCTCAAATCCTGATAGGGGCCAGCGGATGCAGTTCTGCCTCAAACGTGCAGAAGGGTGTGGACTGGATAGACAAACCTGTAGTCAGCTCGGTGCCGGCTGCGACCTCCTCAACTGCTCTTTATGCTGCAAGTTTCGTGGCTTCCTTCCTCGTGAATTTGTGCAGGTCCAGGGTCTCCTTTGAGCTCGATCGACTCGAAGCCGGCGCAAGATCGAATCTAGTAGAAAGCCAAAGCACTTCAGGCCCAGCAGACGCAGACAATGTGGTACTTTCGCGACCCACCCGGAAATTTGCAACACGTCGCTGTCTCTGGCAGGCTCTTGCTTGCCAGCTTCACAACAACATGATACACTTCCTTGTGCTTGGCTGACGCGAAGAAAACAACTTCTGGCGCTCGCATCCTGATCGCGTTCAACTCATGAGTTCAAACAAATTGCCCCGCAAAGCCCCACCTTGACTGAACGCGACAAGCTGCTGTACAGGCGTTGAGGTGGAGCGTTCCAGGTTTGGGCATCGGGCAAGAGCTGCAGAAAAGAAAAGACCACGAGCCAAGAAGATGCATCAGCAAACGCGGCCCCAAGCAGAGTCGGTCTAGCTAACTATACGCAAGCGCGTCGTAACGCAACTTCTTCCTTGGTTTCCTCGATGAGGTCCTGTTTGTCGCTGGAACAACTCGGGTCGAGTTGGGCTGCAGCAAACCACACATGAAGTGAGACCCATAGTACGCGCCTCCCCATGAAGCGGAATGAACAAAAGCGCGATAGCTACTATCCAGATTGCTCTTTGTCGGGATATGCAGATATATATATATATGAATATATTTGGCATCTCGGGCTGTGAGAAGCTATCATCTGAGCATTGTTGTACCGAGACGAGAGTCTGCCTTTCGCAGGCAGCCTATGCCATTCGCCAGCAAGCGTTCTCTGCCCGCGCAATACTTGACAAAGGGCTTCACGGTTTCAGGAGCTCCTTTTGTTGGGGCAAAGGGGTCTTTGTTTCAACCGCTCCTCGCCAGGGGCTCTACGAAGTATTAAGAAGACCGGACATGTAATTGCGCCGTCGCCACTCCAAATTACAATTCCAGTCCTCCACCAGCTGCCAGACAATCGAGTTGTTTGGAACTCGGATGCCGACCTCCCGCCGTTTCCAAACCTGGCAGCTTCCGTTCAGGTGAAGAACAGATCATGCCGGGGTGCGAGTGCAGCTGGGCACAAGTTCGCAAACCGCCATATATATATATATGTATCCTTGAAACGACTGGGTTCATGCGGCAGAAAGTTTTAAAGACCAACCAGAAACAGGTTCCTCAACAATGGGAGGGCCACAAAAAAAGCAGTGACATGAGGGGTAGAATTGACCTCTTTAAAACCATAACATTGCCATTAGAACAACTTGTTCTCATGGATTCTACTCTTGTCACGCCTTGGATAAAGTCTCCTTCGCTTGTTGTGGATTGCTGCTGCAGCCGCCTTGTTGCGGCTCTTGTGCTCCAAAACGATACGCGGGACTTCAGGTGATGCCCTCAGGATGAAGGTGTAGGGCCCTCAGCGCCAAAGAAAGTCTCCCGGAAAAGGAACTTACAGGGTTCGGGGTGAAGACTTTTCTACCTGGGAACAGTTGGCCTGACCTGACCTTAGTTCTGGAAACAGATCAGGGTAAAACTTGAACTGGCTCAGATCTCTTGAAGTAATCACCAGGTCATGACGGGCGTCCAGGCAGACACGACTTCATGTGCTGAAACCACTTCCTAGGTTCTCAACATGTTCGCAGGGAAGAAGTTGAAGTCAGAAACCAAGACCACAACAGAGAAAATCTGCTACTTCGGATGCTCGTTTCCGTGGCAGCGCTGCCACATCGCAATATCTTGAAGCCATGGACAAGTCGGAACACAGTAGGCTCAGCGGTTTGCGCCTGACATGCTGACACTGGATGGTGAGTTTCTAAAAAAAATCCCTCCGGAAACCTCGCAAAATGTCTATGATCCCCGGCGGTCTATGACATGCCTAGATCCCCTGGAACTCCCATGTTGAGAAATCCCAATTCACAATTCTTTAGCAAGCTCGTGATTCAAAAAATGCAACTGCGCATGCCCGGATAGTGCTGACGAATGATTGATGTACAGCTTAAAATGATTCGTTGCAGCTTTGGATTTTCACAACCTTATGGAAGCAAGTGCACATCCAAACTGTGAGCTGCAGCGAAAAAAGCAGACCGTTCGCAGAACATGTTACACTCTAGACTCTAGAATAAAACCAAACGGTCTTGCATCTTGAAGAATAAACCAATGACACTAATGAAAGGGGCAACCACTGTTCTCGCACTAGGGTTGCACTCGTTGCTCGGGTGCGCACTGTGTGAAACAAAGCAGTACCATATAGCCTAACGATTCACCAAGCGGCTCATCCGTTGCAATGCCCTTGATGTCATAGATGCGGCGCACACCACTTTTGCTGTTCACAGGCGTAACGTATGCATGCTGCGTATCGGTGGGTATGACGCCCATACCATTCTCAACCAAACTGTTGAAGACAGTGGCTAGCTGTGACACATGGGGCTCCTCAAGAGGCTCCTCGATGACTGGATTGTCCAGGTTCACGTACACAGCCTCCGATTGCTTTGGTTCCCGGCGGTGTCGTCTACGAGCGTGGCAGGCCGTCAACGCCGCACCCGCCACCAGACCCCGCGTTCCCTGGGTAGGGCTTACCCTCTTGAAATTCCCAACCTCACTCTTTGAGGGCCAACGCCCGACCGAAGTCGCCAAAGGCCGTGGTACCAACCGGCACGGAGTTAGCACGGCAAGAGAAGCAGCCAACATGGCATCAGCCGCGTCTGTGACTCAGTGCGTTGACTTTTGCCCTTCTTGCCATCTCAGAAACCTGCTGAATTCTTTGCTTGGAAGCAATGATGACAAATCAAGCGGATACAGCTTGCAACGTGATTAGCTGCCTGAATCGCAGATTTCGTAGGCTGACAACGGAAAGCCGCAAACAGTTGATGAATCAGGGGGCAAACAAACAGCAAATCCTGGCACGCGCGGTCTTACATCCCCTGAGGCCGCTGACAGCTCCGTTCTTCAGCGCGATCCAGAATCTGAGCTAGTGAGCGCTTCAGGCAAGAGAGCACAGTGGGCCTGCATCCTGTACCCTGATTGAGTATGTTATCGCCACCTGTGGATTTCATGCAGAAAGACAAGGTAGCTCACGTTCCACACGTGCAAAGCAAGCCTGAGCGCCAAACTCGCGAGCTGCACCCAAAGAGATGCTGACCACAGGACAGTCGGAGTCCTCTAATTTCATGACAACTCCATGACAGCCATTTCCAAAGCTAAGATGGGTCGAAGTCGCGTAACGCGTAAGCTGTGATCTGCAAGCAAGCGGGCCTTTCCGCGAAACAGCGACTCGTCGTCTGCGTGCCAGCCTGCTTTTGCGTGTCATGTCTGCGCTTGCCTATCTTTACTTCTGCATTTGCCGTCGCAGAGGCTGTCATGACAAGATCCCCAAAAACCCTGCATACGTTGCGAATCACATCTGCACGTTCCGAATCCTATGTTGGCACGCATCCCTCGAGAAGCTGTGGCTGCGCAATCTGAAACCAGGTAGGTATGTAGCGAAATGCTAGCACTATCCTTGTTGCTTCCTGGGGACCAATACGGCATAAGAGGATATGATCCCCATAATCACCGTATAGATGTTCCCTCAATTCTACGTGAGTCACTCACTGGTGATAATCTAGAATTTCGTTTTGAGTTTCGGGTTTAGGCGGTTTGTCCCTACCTACGACCCCCCTGTAAAACATACATAGTTCCGGTTTCAGCTTCCATTTCCTGTACCACTTGCTTTTCCATTTCATTCTCCAGAGGAAGAAACCTCTGGGCCCGAAACCCTGAAAGCCCTAAACACTTAAACCCAATCCCTGTAAACCACTAGCCCTAATCCCTGTAAACCCTTTTTCAACCCGGACTTGAGCGACTGCCGGAAGCTGCCCACTCACCCCGCTCCCTGTAAACCCTGAATCCAATTCCTTTTAAACCCTGAAACAGACTCCCTACACATAAATCACGTTTCGGGTGTCCGTCACTGTAAAGTTCGTTCCCTACACATAAATCCTAAACCCTAATCCCTATAAACCCTAATCCCTCCAAGCCGAACCTTACAGCAAAAACCCACGCCACAAATCCATGTAAACCCCAAGCCCTGAAATCAAACCCAAATCCCTGTAAACCCTAAACCCTAGACCCCAAACCCTACACCCTCCACTCAAAACCCAAATCCATGTAAACCTTAGACCCTACACCCCACTCCCTAAACCTCAAAATCCTAATCCATGTAAACCCTAAACCCTGAAATTAAGCCCTGAAATCCCAAAACCCAAACCCATGTAACCCCTTTTTGAAGGAGGACTCTCTGACGCATGTAACCCCTAAACCCTAAACCCTAAAACCCTCTTACACTAAAACCCTAAAAACCAAACCCTAAAACCCTAAGCCCTGAAGCGCAGAAAGCCGGGTGCCAAGCCAACACCCTGGCGGCCATCACGGTAGAGGTTGATGTTGGCGCTGTTGGGCCAAGCATCCTCTGAAAATGGTTTAGAGTTACAGGTCAAGGTTTAGGGGTTTGTCGCTTAGGGTTTAGGGTTTGGGGGGTTTAGCGGTTTAAGGTTTTAGGGGAAGTTTGTTTTTCTTGCCTTGGTTTAGCTGGGAATAAAGGAATGGAAAAGAACATCGAAGCTACTATAATGAGTTTCGTAGGGACTACTATAATCTATAAGCATCCATCCCTCCATTCCTAGCTAACAAAAGGTAAGTGTTTTGCCACTTGCATGCCACTGACAGCATAAACTGGTTCATGTCAGGCAAAGACTGAAACGGTTTAGATTATACAGGGGGCATCAGAGATTTTAGGGATTATAGGAGAAGGTTTTTTGGGGGGATGTATAAGGCTCCTTGCCTGCAGCCATTTAAGGATGCATAGGGGTTTAGACATGGAGTTGCTGTGGGCTTCCACTCCCTCAGCTAAAAAGAGCTTGAAATCTTGAACACTTTGGTTGATAGGAAGCCCAAGCCTCAAAGCAGTCGAAAGCACCTGAGTTTGGACGAATGCTGAGTTCCCGCCTTTTCCAGTCCGGGAAACAAGTCACCGAAGACGTGCTGCAAGATCTCCTGGCTCTAACTGCACTTCGTACTCCCTCTATAATAGCAGGATTTGAAGGCTTGTACTGTTATTACGGTTAAAAGCTATTACTATCACTATTACCATTACTACTACTACTACTACTCCTCCTCCTCCTCCTCACCACCGAGGTTCCACAGCACACCATGATCTCGCTCCACACTAAGCCTCCCAGACCTCAGCAAGCTCAGCAGCCCTTCAGCACTCCCAACTCTTGCTTCTTACCGGAGGTTAATAATAGCGAGTAAGGGAAATCATGTGCATCTAAAAAAACGTATATGTATATACAAATATATGTATATTATGGGCAATTATGGGGCTAAAAAGGGTTTAGGGTTTAGGGTTTGTGGGTCAGGGAACACATGTATATATGTATAAATTGGGGGTTAAAGAGGAAACATACTCCCTCTTTCCCTACTCGCCACCGGAAGAGCTGCAAGTGCAACTAGCTATCATCAAGGTCCTCCATGACAGCCTTGAATCCGGTGAGAGATTCGTCAGACAGGGGCTCAGCCTTAACGCTACAAAACATGCCCAGCTGGACCGTGTTACTACAAGCGGCTCTCTTGTCAAGCCGGGACATATTTTTTCAGATCCTATGTGCGCTTTGGTCAAAGGTTGCTCAGTGTGTCCTGATGATTTTGGACGCCCAAAGCGATTTTGAGTGCTTTGCATCAAAAATGGAGCTGTGGCTCCAAGAGTCACCCATGTGTTCAGTAGCAGAGACTACCAGCTTTCTTCGAGCACGCTCAACACCCAGATTTTCCTGAGATGATCTTCACGCAGCTATTTCATCTGTTTGATCCTGGGCTGAGATCTGGGCTTCCACGGAGCCATGGACAAACTGCAGCGGCTCACAAACAAAACAGGTCTGATGTGGGCCAGATACTAGTAGCATCATTACTGTTATTGCATGTAGATTATTTTGAATGATCTTGTTCATGTACTACTTTTATTTGGTCCATAATGGGAAAATGTGGGATGATGCCATGTTTGTACAGTGAATGAGAATGATTCTTCTCGCAGATCCTTACAGCAAGAATCGCAACCACAAGGTGAGACATATCCATGATGTTAACGAACATTTGACGTGGTCAAACAAAACATTATACGGTAAAACCCCCACTGCATGCTAGAAACGCCAAGTTTTATGTTCTGCTTGCCGCTACGGAGGCGGCGGTAACGCTCATTTTACCTGTTTGCAAGGCATGCTTGTTGCAGCTATGGCAGTCATGGTCAGCCAACACAAGCACGATATGAAGTGCCCTGCATCAGACAAAGCCCTCGCCAATTTGAAGCCGGACTGATCGGGGAACTTCGTCAGTATGCCTCAACCCCACACCGTCCGACACACCTGGAAAACGCAAATACGAAGACCTCCAACTCTAAGCCCGTCTGAAAATCCCCCTACATATATACCCCAGAATCCCTAAATAACTCGTATATAGTCCCTATACAATCCCTACAGTCTTTATGATGTCCATTTTCTCTTCCAACATCCTGACCATCCCTGACCTCTGAGTCAAAAAGTTGGCCGTCAGGCCTGGTTGGACCCTGCCACCTCATCTACGTACCCACGGCCTCAGCTTGCGGTCGAGTGCCAGCCATCAAGTCTCAGTGTGGGGCAAGTTTCGGCAACCAAGGCCATTCCCCACAGTGAGGGAACCTAAACCAGGCACAACACCTAAGTCGTGCCAAACCTCTTGCGAGGCAATATCCCAGTAGCCAAATGTCACTTGAGGGCAAAGCCATCGTAGCCATCAGCGGCATTGAGCACATCCGCGTTCGTCACCTAAGGCACGTCAGCTTGCACTGCAGCCATGCTTGTACTTGCCTGCATGAGCACAAGCCTCCGAATGTCTTGCCTGCCTGCAGTCATCTTCCCTACTTTGCGGCTGCAACGTTGGTTTTGGGCCTTGCAGTCTGTATTGAACGTCGCGCATGCACGGGGCAGCCAGGAACTCCCCTCGCTCTTCAACTTTGAAGGTCGCGAGACGCACACATGCTTGCCACCGCCTTGTGCGGGTGACAGCCGGAATTCTTTGCCAAAATTTTACTGTGCCTCAGCCAAAAGAATCTTCCTGCCGCCTATCCGTATGCACATCTCAGCAGGAGGTGGTCGTAGGGATGCGAATGGTTTCACCAGCGCAGTCTTGAACTTCGCCATTCTTCACACCCACGCAGTTGAGGCAACCTTGGCCACACCACGAGCCCCAAAAGCAGCTCCACTTGCAGTTGGAGGCGCCTCGGTTAGGGGAGCAGATATAAATCCTGAGATATTGGACACTAAAATGGAAACTACTATAGTATATTGGGATTATATTGCGATAATGGATAAGAAAATGGAAGCTACTATGATGCTATCCAAAGCACCGTAGCTCGCGGAGATGGCAAAACAGCTGGCACAAGTGCTTTGGAGCTGGGTGCTGTCCTTAGGCATGCTGTTTGCGGATATATGCGTACTATGCAGCAACCCCCCCCCCTCATGTTTAGGTGTTGGCACGCAGCCCCACACGTGTAAGCATTGTTGGAAGCGACTCTGACTCAGCATCAAGAGCATTTTGCTCAGGTAATTCAAATCTTGCATTCCCCCTGTGCTGAGGGTGGTACTCTTCCCCTTCAACTTTCAGCAATCTTGCAGTTGATTGAGCCCTGCTGCATCTTGCTGCTCTTTCAGCTATGGCCCCCTCTCCCTCCGCAGCTGTGATATGTGTGGTTTTCTCCATCACGCAACTGTGAGCACACTAGGCATCACGATGCAACACCCAGCTTGTTACGCGCCCTAACTCGCAGCACTGCCCTTGCCAAAGCCCCTGAGCTCCCGCCCATTAATCTATATATATTGGGGTAATATTGGGAGAATGGAAAACAAAATGGAAACTACTACATTATATTAGGGTATATATTGGGGTTACATTATTCTAGTTAATCTACGCGCCAAAGTTTGCAGCCTTTCGGCTCCATTTGGAGTGGTATGCATTCGCAGCATTGGGTGCACCAGACTTGGCGCCCTTATGCCCATCCCTGGCCGTCATTTGGCACTGATAGGCCCAAGCATCCGTGACACATCGCACGAAGTCATTCTGACGAAAGCCAGTGAAGATGTTGAAGCTCCGCTTGCCACAATCGGAGAGGATGCGGGGAAAGCTGTTTGCCCCAGCGCCTCAATAGAAGTCAGTGACTCAAAGCTACCGTTTTGCATGCCGGCCTAGAAGCACAAGCTCAAAAGCAAGCTATAGCTTCCACCCAGAACCGTGCAAGTGCTCATTGTTACTTGCACCACCGTACTCCGGCAACTCAAAACAAGCGCTCGCGGCGTGACTTGCTGTGGACACACCATGCTTTAATTCAACACCGAGTCGCCGCCACCAAAGGCAGTCATGAGGCTCTGGTCAGTGGCGGAACAGTAACCATAGCCAGTTGCAGATTTGACTGCTGCTGTAGCGTTGGATTTCGTGCTGTTCATTGCGCTGCTGGCATTCCTGCCCAGTCCTCACACAACACGTGCTTAAGCTTCATGGCAGCAGCCCCGCCTCTTTCCAAAGCCGAATACATTACAGACAGACGTGCGTGGCTCCTGCTTCTCCGCGTAAGCCTTCTGCTGCACTGCCGGTGAGCAGAGTGAAGCAAATCAAGCTTGCAAGCATCATCTCGAACCTTGGTCGGCAAAGCGCATTGACAATTGAGACATTGGTTTATTACCATTTCCCTTTGCTGCGACCACTACTGTGGCCAACCGATGGCACAAAAGCATTGGTAGCGATAGCTGCTCTCATGCTAAGGCGTGCACTGCCAAGTTTGTCGAGGGACAGAGGCGTGTGCTGGGCACTTTGTGGCCACTTGACTTGTCAGAAGTGGCTGCAACGAGCATTACTCCCAACACGGACAAATGGTGCTTTCTGAGAATTCAGGTCAAGACGTTCTGAACTACGATATCAAAAGGGTTCTGACACCACGGCAGACTCAGCTCAAGAACACACAAGCCCTCAGCAAGAGCAAAAGGAGCTTCTGTCGGCTGTCAATGTTGGACTACTCCTGCAGAAGGGCATTGCGTAGAAGACCCACATCAAAGAAAATAGAATTTGCCACGGTGGTCCGGGATCCGAATTCGGGCTTTACAGCTCCCTGAAACTCAACAAGCACAAGTCCAAGCACATCACGCGAGTCTCGCGGCCGTAGGCGTAGTGACAGGTGCACCCACCTGAAGCGAACCTGGCTTTGGCATGTCTGCACATATGATACCTACACGCCCCCAAGCTAGTGAACTACTGTCCTTCACAAGGGTGCTGTATTCGATAGAGTTGGATGTTCGCTTGGGGCAGTGCTAGCATTTTCTGAATATGGAACTAGTTCTCTGACTGTGACTGCCACAGGACTTATAGGGCCAGGGAAATGCTGAGGCTGGGCGCCAACACGTGCTCCGAGTAACGCTGGTCCCCTGGCCATCTGGCGAACGTAGAGTGTGAGACAAATACCAACTCATCAAACCATTATAGGAGTGTTGGTCATTATTGGAGCTGTGGTATTGAGGGGTAAGACGAGCATACGGAAAGTCACATCATTGTCGATATGGGTTTCAGCATCGGACCAGCCCATGCAGGCTCCAGGAACAGGGCAGCCTTCGTGTTGAGGAGCTCCACCCAAGGCCTGAACAAAGCAGAGCGGGCAAAGAGTCCACTTGAAGCGTTAAGTTATCTTCCTCTTGAAACTTGGAACCGTCGGCAAACCTGATGATCAAAATCCTGTGGGCTGTGGCGCTTCAGCCCTTGGCCAAAGCAAGAACACCCACACAAGTTCTGCAGATCTATTCCTGCGTCTGACCTGTGACTTCTGGCTCAGTCGCTGGGTGTCTTGCGCCACGTTGAGCAGCTTGCGGAAGAACTCTTGAGATCTCTCCTCAGAAATAGCCTCAGGTGCAGTGAGCGCTTGTCAGTGTGATGCAGACAATGTACGGGCCGGGGCTGAAGGCGTGTGAGGGCTGAGGAAATAGTTGGAGATTCAAGGCTGACCAGACCTTTGGCCTCAGTCTTACAATCAATGCAGCTCGTTGGGTCTTCACAGCGATTCCCCATCTGATCCCTGAAGAGCAGGACGTAGACTGCACAGCAAGCTGCTCTTTGCAAGTTCTGTATCAAAAAGCCGTCTGGGCAAAGCCGTGTAAGCTTGATGTGCCCCAAGCATATGCACCATATGCACCTCAATCACAACACCCTGCACCCCTAAACCTCGAAGTCACAGAAAACCCTACCAACGCCAAACCCCAAACCCCCCAAACCCTTGGACATGCATTGTTACTACTGTTCGTCGTATCATTCTTATTACTACTCATAGTCTTATTGTTGTTATTGCAAATAGCCAGGCCTGCGGCCAGTGGAGAGCGAAGCATCGCCGATCTTCGTCCAGCACCAGCGGGTGCCAGCTGCCAAGAGATGCAATCCCTTCCCGCTAACATGAAACTCCCCACCACCCTAATATCAAATACTCCCAATACTATATTATACCACAATGCGGAATATTCAATATTAGGGAGGTGGGGAGTGTCATATGAGGAGGCGGGGATTAACTTGTGGGGTCTTACATGAGTTTCAAAAAAAATGTGGATCCCTTTTGAGGGTGCAACAAACAAGGATTACATGGGGGTCCATTTGAGGGTCCGCTGTTTACAGAAAACTTGTGGGGTCTTGCATGTCTGTGGGCACTTATACAGGGGATTCAACTGTTTTGGGAGCATCGATGGCTTAAATTACTACTCAAAAGTAGGGTCTAGAACTTTAGCAAGCATGACGACAACCCTCAACGGCAACAGCGAGTCTTGCCAAAGAGATAAGTGAGAGGGACAGACGCGGTGGGTCAAGGCTCCCCAAAATATCAAAGGGACTGCTTTCTCTTCCTGCCCAAATAATATGGATCTGCAAAATAAATGCATGACCACCAGACCCCCTTAACTTTAACCGAGCCACACCCCAAACAACACTTCCTGATCGCAGATGCTCACCACACACCATTACCCTACATGCTGAGGAGTCCTGTAAGGTTAAAGAGAACTAGCGAACACCCACAACAAAACTCAGGAAGTCCCTGAGAACAGGCTGACAGGCCTTAAAGAGCATGTGCAACTCCAAGAAAACTTTCATCACCCAACATGGTAATGATAGTAATGATGGTAATAACAGTATCAGTGGTAGTCATGGCAGTAATAATACTAATAAGAATACTCATAATAGTGATACCAAACTCGGCACCTGCTTGGAGGTGCCGAAGAATATTCAGCTAAGAGCCGAAGTGGAATTTCAGACCGGGACCTGGAGTTGTTTAGGGGTTTAGGGTTTAGGGCTTAGTGGAGTTGCACAAAACTCCCAGAACAATTACGCGGGCATTAAGGCTCCTGTGAGCTATGCGGGGGTTTCCTAAAATTCGGGGTACCCATTTCGGGGATCCCCATAACAAGGATTGCAGTTTTTGGGGGGCTATATTGGGGTACCCCTATTTATGGAAATGACCATGTTTTTGTTTCGGCTTACGGCTTTGCCACTTGTAGTGCTCAAAGGCAGCGCAAGGTAGCATTCCGGAGGGGAAGGGGATCAACCTGGCGAGGGCGTACAGAAGCATACCGTTTTGGCCACCGCAGCCTTCCTTCAATCAGGGATCCCTCATTCTGTTGTCAGGCTTGGGATGCCGGGTTTATGGTTTAGGGCTCAAAGTTAGTCTGAAGCGGGCTGCAAAACGCAGCAGTCTGGAATGTTTGAGGGCATGAGCTTGTTGAAGAGGGGCCCTGTAGCAAGCCCTGCTCCGATCTTCTGCAGAGTGTCTGAGCCGCAGACGGCTCAATCAAGTCACCTGCAGTGAGGCAGGACACAACAGGAACCTCCACCCTTCGATCTAAGGGTCTAAGCTTTGAGGGAAGTCTCACTTGCTTGCTACTATACGGTATGAGTCAGATGAACACCAAAGGAGCTGACGGCCAACCAAAACAAGCGGCACAGGCGAGAAGATATGGACCAAAAGCTGGCAAAGCGCATCCCTTATCCATCTGCGCGAAGGACGACACTCCCCCAGTCATGAACAAGCTTGATCTGTCCACACCTGTCCCTAATCTTGCTACAGGTTCCCATTTTCAACGACTTATAGTCCCCCTCAAGTAGATCGACTATGGCTTTGGGTTGTTTATAATAAGATCCCCACATATCCCATATTCTATCGTCTTCAGGGGATACATAGCGTTACCAAACAGGATTATGCTGGGTTATGTTGGGATAAGATTGGGATAATGGAAAATAAGATGGAAACTACTATAATGGGGTTATATAGGGTTTAGGGTTTATATTTAGGAGTGGTGAAGAAGGAGCTGTGGGCAAAGCGGCCGGCTCTGCCAGACATACTTCCTCATGCTGCTTCTCAAAAGTCTCTAGATGAGAGATTTCCCAAAATTAGGGATACCGTTTTGGACGTCCCTATAATAAGGACCATAGTATTTTGGGGTCTATATTGGGGGTCCCTTTATTTTTGGAAACTACCAGATGGTTCTGGTGTGAACTGATAAGATGTCAAGAGTTGAACATGCGTCTCATTCTCCCCATTGCTCGAATAACAACCTGGCTTTTCTCTATGCACTACTCTAAAAGCTAGCCTTCGAACAAGTCTGCACTTGAAGCAGTGAATCTAGAAAGTAACATGAATGCCCGCCCCACCTCAAAAAGGCCGAAAAACATCTAACAGTACTTCAGGCAGCCTATACACCTTTGCCTGAGTACACCTGTAGATGGGAGCGTAGCTGGAAACCCTTTTGAATCTGGAACTGCAAGATGCCAGAAGCCGCAACTGTAGCTGGAAACCCTTTTGAGCACGGACTGAGGGCAAGCTGGAAACCCTAAACCCTAAACCCAGAAAGCGCCAGGAAACTCTCCAGCCCCCATGCTGTTCGGCACTCAATCAAAAGGATGCAAGCAAGACACCTTAACAAGTTTTGCAACGAGTCTGGACTTAAAGTGATCTGGTGAATGTTGCGAAGCCCATGCAATTCTTCAGGAGAAACTCCAGCAAAATGTGGTAGTTTCCCTATATTTGAGTAGGGGGCCCCTTCCAGATCCCCCAAAATCCTCGAATCCTTGTTATGTCACCCCCAGAAAAAATACCCACAGTGAAACCTGGCCTGTGGGGCGCGGCCACCTCACAATCTTTTTTTAGAAGCTGCTTCTTTTGCAGCTGAGGTATACAGTCCCCCTTAAGTAGATAGAATATGGGGTATATGGGGATCCTATTATAATATATCCAAAGCCAAATTGTGTCAACGGGCTTACAGTCAGCGGAGTCAAGGTGTAGCTTCATGCATTTAACCTGGGCAAAATCACGGCATAATGTAAGGAAAATATAGGTGCACTTGTCAGACTGACTCCGATGGCTGAGTTAGACTGTGGGTATTGCTTTGGCTTTTAAACTTCGCACGATGGTCCGCGCCGTGACTTTGACAGTCCGGGAGATATCGCTGAACCATGATCCGGCTTCTTTAGCATTATTACGACTATTGCTATGAGTATCATTAATCTTACCATTCTTGTTACTACTATTATTGGCAGAGAACAACTGACTCTCCATTGTTGGGGGTAAAATCCCTAAGCCGCTAAATTAAATCTTAAAGACCAGGATTTAGGACTAGAATGTCGGGCCTGCATCCTGAACACTAGGATCTAGGAAGAGGATTTGGATTCTTTAGGATTTAGAACTAGGATTTCAGAATAGGATTTGGATTTTTCAGGATTTGGAACTAGGATCTTAGGATAGGATTTAGGGCAGTTTTCCCAGCCGATGTTGACCTTATTACCCTGCTCTGCGGCCGAACTGCGTGTTTCCGATGTCCGCCTCGGACACACCTTGTCCTTCGTGCCTCGGCTACTGACCCCGCAAAGCCTGTTATGAGTTCAGTGCCTTAGCCTGGAGTGCTGGCCTAACAGCCAGGCCAGACCGTAAGAGCCCAATAGGAGTGGAATGCCACAGGTTTGCATGGGGGATCTTAGGTGGAGGGAGATCCAGCAGGTTCCATGTTGCAACGCGCACCAAAGCAACACCATGTTAATGATGGTAGCTCAGTCATTCCACCTGCATCCAACAGTTGTGTCTTGGCAGGAAAGTGCATGCTAAGTTTGGCATCTGTCTCCCAAAACCACCATGTGAATTTCAGTTCAGCCAGTGACAGTACTTTGAAATCTGGAGTGCCGGCCCGCTGCGGGTGACAAAACAGCAATCACACCCGGTTTGAAAAAGCTCCTCAACGTAACTTCACTCACAAGACAAAACAGCCAGCATACTAGCTGAAAGCAGCTAAGCTCCCAGCTCCAAGAGCATCAAGTGCAGCGAGCTTCAACCCATCACGCGCGCACATGGGCCAGAGATAAAAACGTTAACCGATACGTTTTGCTGAGTGAGTGGATCGAAGTTGTTTGGTTGGACTGGTCAGATCACTTTGAGGGTAGAGGGAATGCCTGTCTACCAAAGCAGCCGCATTCCAGATTCGTTGGCTTGCGAAAACACAGGAAAAACTTAGGAGTGCTTACCCATTCTTCTGTATCTGAGCAGACTCCATGCGCAGTGAGAGGCGAGCACCTCTATGCCGGTGTGCGCTTCATGCCATCATAGCTCTTCCGCTTTTCTTTGTCTGCGGTGCCTTTGGCAGCAGTAGTTTCACATGCGCCCCGCCTCACAACAGCGGCTTCCCCACAACAAGGATGTCCCTGGCGTCCTTGGGAGCAACGTATGAGGCCGCCTGGAGTCCATGCGAGAAATGACCGGGCAACGGGCAGGGTGGTCCGAGTCCATGTCATCCTGGCGACAAGAACGCAGTCGAATTATGACAGGTTGATAATTAAGAGGTCAGGGTACGGCAGTCAGAAAACATGAAAGTCTCGAAGATGCAGGATTGGTTGAAAGAATCCGAGCCTGATCCCCATCTTGCACGCAACATCCACGAGCGAAAGTCAGGGTTCCTGCGAGTGGCAGTGCTAAACCCTCGGACCTGTACTTGCAAGGGTCTAGTCTAATCTTCCAGCCAACACTGGAAATTCACAAAAGCACCACCATCACGGCAACCGTGACATCATCTTTAAACTCGCTCGCATGACATGCCATCGGTCTCCCGCGGTTTGCAGGTGAGCCCATGCTGTTTTTTCACAGCGGCTGAAAACTGTGTGAGAAGTGGATATGCCAGAATTGCATCTGCGACTGCTTAGTGGACCAGGATGTGCCAGTCTTGAAGCTGTGGCTTCAATTGTAGTTTTGTCCCTATTTGCACATCTGCAACATCTGCGTCACAACGAGGCGCTACCTGGCAGCAGGGGTCAGTTTCGATACTGATACTTTGGAACAAAGGCCAAAGAGCTTGTAGTCTCCCATAATAATAATAGTAATAATAATGGTAATAATAATGATAATAATAATAATAGTAATAATAGTAGTAATAGTAATAATAACAATAATAATAACAACACCCTCGTGAAACCTGACGCACCTCATTCCGTCGGCCTGGAGCCTACCTGCTTACCTCACGGCAGCGCCCCGCGTTACTCTTCGAACTCTGCCCATAAGATGATGTGATTGCCTTTGCCGCTCAGAATGCCTGATGCACTGTGTAATATACCCACATAGCACCCCAACATTCCCCCAATCTACTATAGTATACCTCAATATAATTACCCTATATTACGCTATATCATCCCCAATACATGGATCTCCAAGGTTCAACTACGGGCCAGCTTTTGCTCATGTTGCCGAAGGGATTGGCAAAACACCCGCGGGTGGCCGTCGAAGTTGTGATGATATTCAGTCGGGGGCACTTACATCCCACAGGTACCTAAGTGGTAGAGTCCCTAAATACGGGGACCCGAATATAGACCTTAAAATACTAGAATCCTTATTATGGAAACCCCCATACTAGTACCCCTAATTATGGGAAACCTTCAATCTGTTCTTTGTCTGATCCTGTCGATAGAAGTCAAGTGCCCAAGCCGAAGCATGAGGACATGCCCTGAAATGACTTTGGAGTCAATCTCTATCTACCACTTCTATGTGCCACCACGGTCACTTTACAATCCCACTGACATCGTATACTACAATAGGAACTACAGCGGTCCCCTATACAATCCCATGTATATAGTACACATGACCTTCCGGTGGACCTCTCCGCCGCTTCCGCCGCCTCCTTCTCCAGCTTTAGCGATTCCTCTGCAGCAGACAAATATCGTCCCAGGACCCCGCACCCTATAATAGTGGTATAGTAGGAATAGAAGAGGAGCCTAAAAATGTCACCATTATCCCTTGTAGTCACCATTACTGGATGGGGGGTCCACCTAACAAATAATATCAAATAAACAGGTTTGCCAATCCGCAAACCTCAATCGTGAAACCGTACCTCATACAGGTAGCAAAAAACATGAGCAATAGTAATTTCATGATCATAGTATCAATGTTAATAACAAAGCTTATAATTATGATAGTATACCAATCATGCAGAGTCGTATACCAAGGATGGAGGGTAAAATCAAACGGAAGAGAAAAAGAGAAAATAGAACACGAAATGGAAACTAGGACTTTTTGTGGCTGACAGGAATGAGGGTGTCCAAGAATCACGGGCTGTGTCTGAGGAGTTCCTAAAACAGGAACTGTAGTGTATTGAGTGCATATTGGGGCTCTTTATAAAACCATATGAGCCATTGTCAAAACTCCTAGTATCCCCCTTAATAAGCCCTGTAGTAGTCCCCCATATAACCCCGTGTATAACCACCCTTTAAGGAGTTTAGAGTATAGCTCATATGGCATAGATGATATACAATATTTCCAAAGTCACATTCCTTCTGTTTGTTGGGCATCTGAATATTGCCCTGACTACTGGACATGGGTATGTGCAATAGAAATCTTAAGAACAACGAAAACAAGCCTACGCACAGCGCTTGCAGACCTCGAATGCTGTCATTTTGCGCTTTTTGCGCTTCAGTCTCTTTTCCTCCTTGGCAAACAATTCAACTTCATGTCAAGGGCTTTGTCCAGGATGAACCTGTGACACTTCCATGACGCTGTGTGCCTGCATGATGCATGAGAAGACATGTACTCTGAGCAAGGTGTGTATGCAAGACTTGCCCTAGTGCTCCCATCTGAAAGCTCTCTGTGCACTTCATCCACCACTCCGACATCCTGAACCAGATTGAAGACGCTCGTCACAAACTCTCAGAGCCTGACTCGCTCTGCCATTGCCTCTTCGGTGTAATTTGGGTCGATCCTCAGATTTGTTTAGAAAGGGGCTTGGTTTTGTCTAATGCCCAGGCTACCAACGGTGCAGCCTTTGATAATCCGAGCACTAGAACAATAAAAGGGACCATATCTAAAGAAAAATATTTTGGCAAAATTAGGCTCTAAAGCCTAGCTACAATTAGGCGGCTTTTCGTGTGGGGAAAAGTGACCATATTTCAAGAAATTTTCTGGCGGACTAATCCTGATAATAGAGATATTAAATACGTTCCTATTCATTGGCAGTTAATAGAGGTCCAAGAACCCCTATGACGCAGGAATCCATTCCTACTTTTGTAAATTGGACCCCAGGAGCCCCAATCATTATTTTAATCTGGCGCCCTCCATTCCTTATTCTGGGGGGGGGTCCCGCCCCAAATTGTTCTAGTGCTCGGATTAACCCGCATGAAACTAGGCAATAGGGTTACAGACATCGAGCAAATACTGTCCGAACAGTGTAGCGGTATTGCCTTTCAGCTCTTCCATCTCTCATTTTCCAACACAAGCAGCCATTTTTTCCGCACAAATCCATCTCCTCAAAGCAGAAAGTCTCAGGAACTGCTTGGCTCTGGGCCAGCTATTTCCAGGAAAGATTTCAGGGACGGGGCCTCTGCACGCAGATGCAGAGTAACGCCTCCTCCTCTAGCTTCGAAGTAATGCTCCAAGTACAGCAACATGCCTGGCATGAGGGACAAGACTACTTTAAAACTGACTTCCACAACACGTCACAGGGTGCTGCAGCCTGCAGCTGCCATAGTTGATAATGGAAAAGAAAATGGAAACGACTATAATGCAATAGGGTATATATAGGGATTATATTGGGATAATGGAAAAGAAAATGGAAACTACCTTTTAGAGTTTAGTTTTAGGGCTTAAAGTTCAGAACAGTAGCAGGATTTCCTTGTTGAACGTCATGTCGCGCAATTTGCATAGGTAGAGCTATATAGCTATGGCATCATGAAGGAGTGAACCACACCTGCACGGAACATTGGAGTAGACTGGTCCTATAACTTCCCTGGCTCAGTTGGTTTGGCGTGTTGGCTTTCGTGCGCCATCCCATGTGCAACTACCCACAAATCAGGGCATCCATTTCGTGAAGGAATCTTCGGAGAGGGGGGAAAAAGTCTGGTTGAAGCAGCATGACCCCTTGCCTGGATCGTCAGGGCCGTACTTTGAAGCATCCACGCTGAGGCACGGATGTGCATGCCCCCTGCTGCATTTAGGGTACATTCATGAGCTTTAGGGCTTGTAGACACTTGAACTGAAATTGCTTACAGGCCTTCAGCTGGTTTAGAAGATCCGGAAAACCCAGGGTCTCAAGATCTACGCAACCTTTGAACTGTCAGGATCACATCAAGAAGGGGGGCTATGACTGAACCTTGAAAAAAATATCTTAGCTGAGCCCACTCACAAATGCATGAAAGCGGGATGTGAGCTTGCGTTGGGCCTTGTCGGGTTGAGGATCAAAAAGCGAAAAAGGTAACAAAAACAAATATATATATATACATACATATATGTGGTGAATAAAAACATATCAAGATCAAAAGTTGGCTTTCAAATTTGAAATTTCGGAGAACAAAGATGAGGATCAAATGATGAACAGTGAGGAAAGTCGCACACATTACTGAAGATCATGAAAACTGATGCTAGCTCATGAAACATGAAAGAATATAGGTGAATTGACTTGACATGGTGGAAGAATGCTGAGAAATGAGAAAATATGACGAAAAACACCGCGAAGCATGCAGAGATGATGAAAACATGGCGTAGTATGTTGTAGAATGCTGAGAAACGGTGAAAAACTGGGAAAGTGGAAAAAATCATGAAAATTTTGCAAATTTGGAAGAAGACTGCACATGATGAAATATCATGAAACATAACTATAACGCAAAATTTTGAACACTGAGGAAACTGGCAAAACATGGGGAAAATGATGCCACATCATGAAAATTATGGAATTGTGGAAACGGCGAAGACAAAGATTGAACAGTGATGTGAAGATTGACAAAACATGGAGAACAAAAAGATGCTAAAGAGTGATGAAGTCCACGAAGCATGGTGAAAAAAGGGATAAGATGGGATGGCATATGGTGAAAACTACGAGAAACTCATTCAAGATTGGAAAATGATGAACAACAATGATAAACTATGAAACAAGATAGAAAAAAACATGAGGCCATGAGAAATGAAGTAAAATTATGAAAAATCTCAAAAGCAGCATGAAAATCATGAAGCATACTGCAAAGGAACGCCAGGTGATGAAAATGCTGCAAATGTGGATAATGATGAAATCTGAGTGAAATGGCGCAAATGAGGAAAACAAGATGAACTGCCATGAAACTGATGAAAATAGCAGGGACCAAAGAAACTTGCTGAATTATCATAGAAAATGTGAACGTGTTGGGCAACATAGTATCTCATCAAAACTGGCCAAGACAAAACATTACAAAGCCTGGTGCAAGTGATGGACAAATGGAAACACTAATGAGACATAATGAAAAGAAAACTCAGAAAATGAAAAGAGAGCTCAAGACGGCTGCTGTTGAATGTTTATAATGCTTGCCATGCTGATTTTCAAACTTGAAAAGCACCAAGCCTCATATTGTTTTATGCAGAGAGCCGTTTATTCGTGTGGATGTGACTTTTCAGCAATAACAGGCTGCCCAGATTGATTCTGATCTGGAATCAATATGGGTGCCCATCGTAAGGACATTCATATCATTGTAACTAATACTGGGTGCTCCGGGACTCAGGGAATAGATAGATAGTGCTAATAATACGGAGCATAATAAATACAGCTTAAGGGCAATAATTGCACTGACAGAAATGTAAAGTCCGGATGACCTTACACGTCACGTATTTGAAACGCTTGCACATGTTCTGCAAAGGGGGTGGGGCGGATGGGGGATGGATGTGCGGGGATGGGATGGGAGGGGGGGGGGGGGTGCAGATTGGGGCGGGTGGGACGCTCCCCATTGGCAAGACCTCAAAACCTGCACAAAATCAGAACATGTACTTTCTTCCGACCTTTTTGACTTAGTAATGATAAGAAGCAATACTAACAGGAGCATGTGTCCCCTCTCATATTTCCTCTCCTGTCTTATCCTTCCTCTTTCTGTTTATTTCCTTATTTGTTCCGTTATGCATTACTTTCGCTATTGTTTTCTTCCGTGCTTCCTTTCTTTCCGACCGTCGTTCCCTGTGGCTTTCCTTTTTCTCTCTTTCTGCCTTAAAGATGAATGCAACCAGTTGTACCAACCAAAGAAATGAAAGGACCAGATGACCTTACACGTCACGGTTTTTGCTGATGCCTGTGTGCATTTGCGTTTTAACAGCAAGTGGGGGGGCAGGGGGTTGGGGGAGAGCGGGAGGCAGGCACGGGGGGAAGGGGGGGGGCCAATGCCCAAACCTGGACGAAGATCACGGCATGTACTTTCTTCCGACGCTTTTGACCTTGTCATCATAAGAAGTAATACTGACACAAATGTGTTTCCTGTCGTTCTTTTTCCCTCTTTTCTTTCCGTTCTTCCTTTTTTCCTTTTTCATTTTCTTCCTTTCTTCATTTCTTCATTTCTTCCGGTCTTCCTTTACTCCTTTCTTCCTGTCTTCCTTTTTTGCTTTCTGACCTTCTGACTTCTTCCTTCTTCTTGCTTTCTTCCCAGGGAACTTCCCATTCTGCAATTTGCAGTATTGAGTTTTTCCCAGGACCTAGCCTAGAATGCTGCATTTCCAGCATGCAGGAAGGTGCGAGGACAGCGCTTTCCACCATAAGAGCTCATGTTGTTGGTTTCATCCAGTGTACAGGCGCTGCCAGTGCTGAGTTTCTACCATGCAAAGCTCTTTTTGGTTGTTGTTGATCCGCATCTTGTCATGGATCCATCTTTTTTGACCCCTCTCCTGTACCCTCTCCCGACTCACCAGCCTTAACATGAAGCCTGGACTTTGGGGGCCCCGATCTCTTCGAATCCCATAGCCTGAACATCGCAGTCCCCAAATTTCCACATGACATGGACGGAACCCAGTTCTGTGCGGAGCAAAGACAAGCCTAATCCTCAGACACGCCTACACCTAGTAGGTCCCAAAACTCTAAACCCTGCAGTCCCGAAACAAAGGGACATGTGGGGTATTTTGCCGCAGCTCTTTGGTCCCGATCATGTTGTGTAGTGTGCAAAAGCGGACCGCACTTTAGGCCGCCACCCACATATGAGCTCTAGTCTTAACTCTTAGAATCCCCCTGAAGGAAGAACCGCTAGAATACTCATATTGCTCTGTGGGCCAAATTCCACTAATTTCTGGAATGTGTGCCTCTGGTCTAGCAGTGGTGGAAGCCACTTGGCAGCAGCGATCTTGCCATTGTGCCTTTAGGCATCAGCTGGGACATATATATATATATATACATACATATGGGGTGAAACAACAGAGGTGCTCCATTTTACCAGTTACGAGAAATCGTCAGAACAGCAGGAAGGAAAAATAGAAACTGAACGGGCGGAACCTGTAGCAAGGTAGTGGGAATACAACCAAAGCTACGGCGGCCCCAGCCTGTTCTACTAATCCCCTCCCCCTCAAATGAAACAACCCCCCCCGGGACCCTCCAAATATTAAATACTCCCCATTGTTGTACTTTAGAATATACTGTGAATATTTTGATATTAGGGGGGGGGGGTGGGAGGTGTATTATTGGGCGGAGGAGATTAAGACGATGGGAGCTGTTACGCATCCCCTGTCTGGTGTTTTCTTCCTTTGTTGTCAAGGTATTATACGAGCTATGGTCTAAACTCCCTGAAGAGGGGTATACAGGGGATAGTATGGGGGACTGTAGTATAAGGGTTATTGAGGGGGATACGAGGAGTTTAGATGAGTTTAGACTATAGCTTGCATAAACTCTTGCCCCGAAGCTTCGCTCATACAGGCGCGGTTTACCAATTGTTCCAAGAGCCCTAAACCCTAAACCCCAAACCCCTAAACCCTCAACCCTAAACCTCAAACTACCTCTTTGACAGGAAGCAAAGCTGAGCACATCTCTGTAGCAGTCCCTACCCTGGTGCCTTTTGTCCATTCCCTACTAGGTTGGCCCCTAAAACCCATTGAAAAATCTTAGTATATATGGTCCCCTATTAAAGCCACTAGGGAAAATATCAAATATCCCAAGGGCCTACCCAGCCTAGCATCAGGAGAAAAAGTCTAACCCTAAATCGTCTAACCCAGATTTCGGTGAGTCCTTGTAGCCTTTTTTAAGCCTTTCATACTGTGAAGAAGGTGGAACCCCAAAGCTTCACAAGCCCTGAGTTCAGAAACCTTCCTGACCTGGTGCTGATCTGTATTTGATTTTAGGATGGTTTCCACAAGTAGAAAGTCTCACCGGAGAGGGGGAAAGCTTTCAGAAGTACCCACGTGAGGCACTTAGAGTAGGGAATCCTGTGGTTTCGCTGGGAAACTCTGGTGCAAATGCTAGAATGACGTCATTGAAAACTGAAGGATTGCACGAAAGGGCTCCGGCCGGGAGGGGTTGGGTAGTAGAGTGATGCTGGGGAGAAAGCAAAGCAAATCATGCAAAGGACCAGAAAGGTCCGTGTTCCTGGCTTGCTTGGCTTCGCATGCCTGACTATATAAAGCCATAGCCTAAACTCCTTCAAGGGGGTTACATGGGGATTATATCGGGAACTACTACAGGGGATATAAAGGGGGATACTAGGCGTTTAGACTATAGCTGATATAACCCCATCGTAGTAATTTCCACTTTTTTCCATTATCCCACGATTACCCCAATAGAATATACCCCTATGTAACCCTAACCCCTATAGTAGTTTCCATTTTTCCGTTATCCCAATATTCTCCCAACATAACCCAAGGTCTCCTCACATGACGCCAGGCGCCGAGGCACACGAGCGCAAGCCCTGTTGATACCAGGACTGGCGTGTCTTTTCCTTAGCCACGTGGAAATCAAGGGATTCGCATGATTCAGGCGGATACTTCTCCCTTTTTTCCTATATACCCCTACAGAGCCCTATGTAACCCCTATACCCCAATATAAACCACCCACGCGTCCTCGCGCGCACTGCTCCAGAGCCATGAGGCCCAAGCGGTCGCCACTGCGCAGCTGTTTCCTTAGCCCACATTTGCCTAGGAAGAAAAACGGATCCTTTTTAATTATAAGGAATCTCATGCCCCAAAAACTATCAAGGATCCCTACTGGGTTGGCCCCTAAAACCCATTGAAAAATATTAGTATATATGGTCCCCTATTAAAGCCATTAGGGAAAACATTAAATATCCCAGGGCCTACCCAGCCTAGCATCAGGAGAAAAAGTCCAGTTTCCATTTCATTTTCCATTTTCTTTTCCATTTGATTCTCCATTATAGTAGTTTCCATTTCCTTTTCCATTCCTAACATTGATCCAGTCTCGGCTCCCAGGAGAGGCGGACGGCTGGGTGCGGAGACAGCCCGTTCACCTCCAAGGCTCTTTGCTCAGTATTGGAAACTGCTATAGGGGTTTAGGGTTTAGGGTTTAGGGGTATATTCGATTGGGGTTCTATTGGGATAATGGAAAATGAATTGGAAATTGCTATGATGGGATTCTTTGGGGTTGCTGCTAAGGAACTTAAGCGAAGTTGCTGCAATGAGGAAGCCCTATTATTTACATTTATTTACTATATTAAGTTAATTGAAGCAGCAACCCAGACTTCCAAACCGAGCAGCCCTCTACTTCTCAGAAACATCCACCTGGAAGTATGCCCCTGGTTCGAACATGGGGCGGCCCTCTTCGGTTGGGGAGTTCTCCTGCAGCAGGGGCCCCTCTCCCACAAGCATCAGCTTCCAGGCTATGAGGTCCATGTGAAGGGTGTTGATGATGCTGACCGGTATTCCCCCACTCTTTCCGGATACGAGAGCCATGCTGAAGATCTTGTAGGCATCCAAGTCCTTGGGATCAAGCTGGACTTCTACTTCTGCATATATTCCGTGGAAGCGCTTCTCCCACCCAAAGCCCATTGAACGCGGCATCAGATGCTGCCGGGTGATGGCATTGGTGTATGGAGAGGTACTCATGAGTTCCACGTCTTCCCGCCTGAGGGTCAGGGCACGCACTCAAAGAAAACAAACTGACGAGTGAGCAGGCTCAACAGAAACGAGCTTCTGCTTTGTAAAAGTTCACCTGCCTGGCTCTCATGCCACTGGGGTCACAGCTATCTCGCTTGAAATCAAAACACGGTCTCAGACCGGGCAGGTCAAAGATCATCGCCAGAGACCACAGACGAACATATTCTGGGCGGTACAGGTCTCGCCCAGACAGGTAAAGCGGCTTCTTGGAAAAAGTCCGCAGAGCCAGCAACAGCAAACCCACCACCTTGCGACTCAAACAAGCATCCCCATCACGAAGCACCCCTCGATCGACATCGAAGTGTGCCCAGAAATCTTTCTCGCGAGAACCGAAGAATTCACTGCCCAAGACTGGCACGACCTTCCAAGAATCTCCCTTCAAGGCAATTGATCGTAAACGAAGGCAGCAGGGAGCCAAGCGTGCAAAGTCCGCCCAGTCGTTAAAGACAAGCCCGGCTATGCTACAGAGCAGCGCATCTGACAATCCACACAGGCCTTCCTTTGACGACATCGCCTTTGGACTGCTGCTACTGGCCTTTACAGCTTGCAACGGCTCCAGGGCGTCCTTCCACTTCTTCAAGACTCCGCACTGTTTGGCGGTTGGCGCAGGTACGAAGCGGAAGTTGTGTAGCGTGGCTCGGTGGTAGAAGTGTTTTGCAATTCGCTCCTGGTTCTTCCTCTCCGCCTTGTCTTCCGGAACCGCAAAAGGACCGGGAGAGAGGTTCACACTTTTCTCATACTTCACGAGGATCAACAAGGCAGAGTCCACGCAACCAGCGGCATAATCTCCACACTGCGCCATCGCGCCGCTCTGCATGAGAGCAGTCATGTGAGCGAGTTGCCCCTGCAATCTGTCCTCTATGCTCTGGTTCACATCCCCCTTTTCAAGGTTTTCTAGAAGGTTCTGATGCATGACACTGGTCAGCCATGCGGTGGCAATGGTCATGAAGTGCTGCTGGATTTCAACACCCAGCAAGGTCCAGCAACTTCGCAAGACCTGCTCAAAGCGCCGGGGTTCCTGGGAGACTTCCACAGCCTCCGATGACTTGGAACCCTTGGAGCTTCCTTTGGATCCTTTGCTTCCTTTGGATACTTTGTTTTTTTTGCGCCTGGGCCGGTTTGGTAACTGAGCTGGGTCCAGCTGCAAGAGGAACACCAGGCGGTGCCAAAGCTGAAGGCTCTCCAGGAGGAAGTCCTCTGGACTCTTCATATACTGCAGCACTTCCTTCGCATCCTTCTGCATTTCCTTCACAAGAATGCAAGCTTGCAGTGGCCACGCACGTCGATTGTTGACCCCCTCTCCAAGATTCCAAGCGTATAATCCCCCTGGGAACCTGAAGCTGTCTGTGTTTCCCATTGATGCAGAATCTGCGTGAGCAAAAAACAGGACCGTGTGCTGTACAAATTCGACCCCTGCAATCCATCATCTGCACATACATACATACATACATACATACATTCATGCACACATACAAACAATGTCTCTGCTCTCAGCATCGCTCGGGTACAATGCTACAAGTCTGTGTGAGGCTCTTCTGGGCCTTACTTTCCAGAACTAGGGCGGCGGGCAGTCAGCCCTCTTATAAGCAGGATTAGCGCCCGCTGTTCTTCTGCCGCAGCATGCATGCTTCTGATCCCACTGTGGCACTAAAGACTGTAGAAAATGTGGCTACGTCTTCACATGCTAGCATCTCTTTAGGCAGTCTGAGCTCCCACTGCCTCGAGATGTGTCGGGTGCAGTATGCCACGCCCCTCTCCCCGAGGATGCTGCAGGTCGTCGATATCGCCCTCGTACTGACTGGTCTCAAGCCATTCGCCTCCCAAGGAAGCAGTGCATATCAGTGGATGCATGAGCTGAAGATTCAATGCATGCAGTGCGGTATGCGTACCGGCAATGGCCAGGTGCGGCCAGGACCGGGGGGCCTTCGCGAATGCTCGGGAGGGGGTGCCCATCAGCGGTTGTTCGCAGGAAGAAGACCAAGCAGGCGTCGGACTGCAAGTCCGTGTCGGTAAAGCGTTCGGGGTCATCCAGTTTTCCGAAACGGCATACCTGCAGACCATGGGAGGTCTGCAGGACTGCCGACTCAAAACAGCCAATCTCCCGATAGGACCAGTTGATGTCCACGCACAGCCAGTGATGATCCTTCAGCTTCTCAAGGATCAAGAACTCTGACCAGGTCCCATCCGTGTTCAGCAGGCAGCAACATGGCAATGGTAGCAGCTGTGGCACTGACATGCATGGAACAAACACACGAAGCGCTATCAGAGGTGCCAGCTGAGCCGACGAGCTATAAAGGGCAGAGTAATAAGTAAAGAAAGCATCGCAGAAGCGCATTGGCATACACATATTCCAACGGCGAGGCACTGCTCGAGATTAGGCCGCTGCGGCTCAGCTCAAGTCAAGGCGGACTAGGAATTATGCAGGTTTCCAACTATGCAACCAATGCGAGCACCCTACTCCCGACGTGCAGGAGCAGCGTACATGATTTGACAGAGAATCAGTTGTCCACTTCCATCACGGGCCCTTGTATAACCCTGGCAAGTCTAGGAGAGCACCCATTTCTTGGATCTCATGCGGAGGTTCCGAAGCCCAGAGGCTCCAAACACTGCACGTAGACTGTGGAGCAATCCTGTGGTGCCTTGGGGAAGGTGCCACGCATTGGCAGCTTCCGCTGAGGTCTTAGCTTCAAGGCTTTTCGCAGCTTCCTCTTTTCATCTGCCTCTTTCTGCTTCTGAGACTCCTGTCAGAGCAACTTGTTGCATTCGCGAGGGACCCTGGGCTTCATGAAACACCGCTCAAAACGTTGAAGAAGCTGCCTGCTTTAAGGCTGTGGCCTTCTCAGATACCACCTACAACCATCAGATAGTAATTATACGGGCCGCACTTGTTAACCTCTCATGTCGGCACGATCCCAGTGCCCACCTCGCTATCTTGTTGATGGTATGAAATGGGCAGGATCTATCAGGCTTTGAAGACGAGTGCACTTGCGCACCTGTACAGACATGCGACTCCACCAAGCCCCAACTGCACACAAGCAGCGCCCTCACTACAAAACAACAAAATCTTGTACGCCTGAGCAGTTGCCCTGCGGGGCATCTTCAAGAACCCCAAGCACCCAGAATAATCTAAGCGGTAGCCGATTCCACGCTGCCGGCATTCTATTTCTGTTCAAGACATGGGAATTGCTAAACACTAGTGTCCCTTCTGGGGAGTGTCCATATCGAGGATTACCGCACTTTGGAACAGCACCCACGTGTGCCTTACCTCTTCATATCTCAACCGCATCACCCGAAGCTTTTGGACTCGCCTAATTCCCTTGAGCCATCCCGGCCTTGTAAGACCAGACAGAGAAAGTAACCCAGCTTCCGATAACCACCTCAGCTTCTAACAAGACTCCGACGCTTCGTCGCTTTGTCGCGGTGCTCTTTGGATCTCTTTCGTATGTTGCGTTGACCAAGTGTTGCAAGGTGATACCAAGCCCCTCCTGGTCTCCAACTTGAGTCAGGACATCCAATGCGAATCCCTCTGGTTGCGGAGGTCCGCTTCACAAAAAGTACTTTGAGGTACACTGGAGTTAGGGTAAAGATGTGGGAGCGGGTGGCCATCCTTTCCTGGATCCTTTCCATCAAACCTCTTGGTACAGACCGATATCCCAGAGCCAGCGGTACACGTGCCGTCCAGCTTGGGCGTCTGCGAGATTGGCATCAGCAAAAAGAATTGGACCCAAGGACATGCAACTCATGCGCAAAGTGTGGATGTGAGATCCGCGCAACAGGCATGACAAGGAGGAGCTTGCCGACCTTGGCCACACGCATGAGAGACTGCGTCACCCTGCTGAGACAGTAGAAAGGCTGCCGTGCGATTGTGGCAACGGCTTTGACGACAACAAAGACTGCAGTGCTACAATTGTAATAGTTAGATTCCCCCATTCCCTACCAAGAAGGTGAAACACACGATGTTTGGGCAAGCCAGTCAGGCTCCACGCGATTGCATCCAACCAGTCAGGAAGTCTTGGCAAAACCTCTCCATCCAAACTTGTCCACTCACAGGCAAGCTTCTGCAAACAGTTCCGTCTGCCCACTACCCAGTTTGAGATACTGAACAATACAGCCCCCTTGGCGGCGGGTCAGCAAATCAGTTAGTTCGTGGCAGCATTCAACAGGCCTCCTGGATGACCTCTGCTTGTCGGGCGTTCTCTGCAGCCTCCACGTGAGCTGTAGCCTAAACTCCTTGAAGGGGGTTATATAAGGGATTATAAAGGGGATCATTACAGGATACTATAGGGCTTGTTAGGGATATACTAGGAGTTTAGGCTATAGCTCACATGACCCACGAGCATTACTTTCATTTCATCAAACTTGCGATGCCTATCTTTTAAACCGCCATCCGCCCATTCCACCCCTCCAATGCTAGCCATCATGTTTTGGAAAAAAATCGCTGCTCAATCCCAAATGCTTGGAGGGAAGACGTAGGGCAACCGAATCTGCAACTATCAGGCCAGAGGCTGGTTGCTTGAGTTTGTTAGCTTGCTTTGGTCCTCAATGGAAGTGTCCAAAAATGCCGAACTGAAGCCAACAAAGCACGGATACAACCAACCCTGCCATCAGGGTGCATGTGCTTGGATCCTACAGGCCTCCAGCAGCTCGTCCCCAGTTGGAATCTCGCCGGGCTGCAGATCCACACGTCGAGTTAGGCGGGAGGCACCTGCCATCGTGCCACTACCACCGCCACCAGCGTCACCACCACCACCGCCCAGCGACATCTCCAAAAAAAGGGCAGAGCAGCATGCATGGGTATGAATGCTTGCGTAAAAGCATAAATGCCTCTATCTGCTCGCTGAAGACCTGTGGGGAAGACAAACACCTGACAGCGGCCAATTCTGCGCAGATCCTTTCGAGTTTGCGGCGCAAAAACAAGAGCCCGTCGAAGACGTTTGAAGAAAGGACGAATGGGCTTTAGCAAAGAAACAAATGCGGGAACAAATGCTCTTATGAAAGATGCCAAAAGACTAAGACACCTAGCGGCAAGAAGCAAGAAGCACACTGTCTCTGGGCCTCTCTTGAAAGCTGGGCAACTTGATTCGTCGCTTCAATAACAGGTTGGACTCCCAGGGCATGCGTGGTATACATGGAGTAATGCCCCTATGGTCCCCTTATCTATCTACTTAAGGGGGATTATACCCAGCAACAGTCTACAATAGGGCTAGCATTAAGGACCATATGCACTTGTAATATAGATAGTATCCAGCTGTTTCTGAGTGGGAGCAGTACCCAAGGCGTAGATGTTACCAACATCGCTGCGACTGTTTGTTCTTTTGCACGGCTCTTCTTGTCACCCCTATTGGTATTGGAGCTCCAGATAGAGGACCACCCCCTTTTTGCTAGCTAGCGTCAGAGTCTCCTACCATCCCTAACCCTTTTGCAACAGGCTTTCTGAGTTGCAAAATGGTTAGGGATGGTAGAAGACTCTGATGCTAGCTAGCAAAAGGGGGGTCGTGTATCTGGAGCCTCCCTACCCCTAAACCCTAAACCATGACTAGTTAGCATCAGGGTCCCCTACCATTCCTCTACAGTTTCAGGGATTCACCCTGCACTCCTTGATGTTTTACACGCCCCAGCGTTCCTGATGCCGCCGACATTCTCCACACGAGCTATAGTCTGAACTTCTAGCATCCCACTTAATAAGCTTATAGTACTCCCCTGTGGTGGACTACAGCTCAAATAGTACCCACTGATTAAGCAGTTGGGGTCATGAACTGTCAGAGCAGGGCAATCACTTTACTCAAGCTGCTACGCGGGCATGTCCAAAACTGGAGCTCTTCTTATGTACCATTATGTACCTCTGCATAAAACAGATCCTCATCAAAAAGGCCCACATCCCACACCCTAAACCGTAAACCCTAAACCGGAACCCCAATTTCTGGAAATCCCCAACAATGGGGGCCACCTCTGTGCAGCAAAGCAGAAGCGCTGCTGGCACCAGGCAGGAGGCCGCACGCCTGCATCGCATGTAATATGAGCTATATATAGTCTAAACTCCTAGTATCCCCCTTAATAACCTATAGCAGTTCCCTATATAATCCCCGATATATCCCCCTTTAAGGAGTTTAGACTATAGTTCATATGGTTTATTTCAGTGGGTACTGTAATGCTCATAATTGGCATTGTTGTGTTTTTGGATTAATCAGAATGATCTGTCTTACTCGTAGCAGTGCTACTTGTAATCATTTGCAATAGGTGCAGCAGCAGCTTACCTAGGCTTATTTGCTTGATCTCGGGGCTACCCATCTGGTATTCAATCAACCCGCCATGACAAGCCTCCGCCTTCTCTGTGGGCTGTCCCGCACAAACCGCATCTCAAAGAGCCAACTCAAAGGGCTGCAGGCATGTTTTGGCCATCTATACACCGGCCGACGTGGCAGGACAGACTCTGCAGGTAAGCCTTTCAACCCGTTCGGACACGTCTTCGGCAAACTCATGAGTAAATGCAGGGAATGCCCACAAGCAAGCTGGGCGGAGTCACCAAGCACAACAAAGATGATGCCCATCACCATGACAGCCTCAAAAGACGACAGTTCCAGCATCTACAAAAAATTGGACGTCCCTTTTACGAGAATTCTCCATGCCTGCAGACGCCTATCATGTCACAAGCACATAGGAGCACCGCCCAACACCATCCGGCTGACCTCGTTGACAAGCCGATCGTGGATCGCGTCTCGAGCACCAATTGCCAGCACACCCAGCAGTATCAGAACCTCAAGTCAGACTGCAACCCCTGATCTGGGTATTTCTCAGGGCCTGATGTCAACCATAAAAGAAGACAGTCACCATCAGGGAACCCCCAAACAGGACTCACATACCAGCTGCAAACACATGAGGTTTTCCAATTGTATTTCTTAAGCAAGAGCCCAATTTCATGTGAAGCCCGCCTCGCTCGGCTACAGGTCACAAGGGTTTGCGGTTGATGATATTACTCATGCTTAGTTGGGATGGGGAAATGTGTGGTTATATGCTAGAGAGATTATTTTGGGGATTGTATAAAGATTACTATACACTCCCACACCCAACTAAGCATGAGAAGCAATCTGGACAAAGGCCCCGTCGGCAGCAAAGAGCACGAGCCGAAGATTTTGCTCCTCCATGTCTGGGGTGGATGGCTGGATGGTAATGTACACCTGCGATAAGAAAAGCCTCCTTTTAAGGGCCTTAATATTAGGATCCCTATTTATTACTCAC